AAGATCAGCAATTTCTTTGATTTTTATCTCAGATATGTTTTCTTTCTATTAAAATATGTTTTTACATTAAACATAAATAGCATGTATAGTCTCTCCTTATTTAATTTGTGTAGATGTGTAATTATATACACTCTGAGATAATGTTCACCAACTATTAACAGCTAGATTTGCTTCTGAAAATTGAGAATAAGAGCTGAACAACTGGTAGTAAACGAGACAGGGTTGGCAACCTAGCTTTGAACCAACGACAGGACTTTACAAGAGAGAGGAATGAGGGTATACTCACAGATTTTTGAACACAATCATCTTAAGAACTCAAGATTTCTTTGCCTTGCTGTGCACCTTATGGAGTTAGAATTGTCTTGACTAGTTCTCTACACAATAATCTGTGTAGGACACTACGCCCTGTGGCTATAATGAGATACCACCTTAACTTGTTGTTGTTAAGTACTCTCAAGTCGATTCCAACCCATAGCGACCTTATATAGGGTTTCCAAGGAGCAGCTGGTGAGCTTAAACTGCCAACTTTACCTTAACTAGTCGTTCCTAAACTGGGGTTGCTGGGTGGAAAGGGAAAGAGAGAAATGAGAAGACTACTACAGTTAGTCTCAGAGGAAGTTGAGTGATATATGAAAAGGTTCAGAAGTGACTACTGTGAACTGACATAAAAATTAGTGCAATGCTATTTTACCACATTAATACCCTATACTTTGCTGTTGTTGTTGTGAGGTGTCATCGAGTCGGTTCCGACCCATAGCGACCCTGTATAAGGTTTCTGAGCAGCAGCTTGTGAGCTTGAACTGCCGATCTTGCAGTTCAAATGGCTTTGTGGTCTGGCTCATTAACACTGAATTTAGGGTACTTTGAAAACATTCTACAATTACATTTAGAAAAAGTCCTAACTTTAAGGTGTATCCAAGATTTTGTCCTAATTTCAAGTCACCTGCATTGAAGGTTGACTCAAAAGAAATTACCATTTAGGTAACATCCTTCGAAATCCCACATCCTTAGTGTATTTCCTTTCTGAAAAATCATATATCTAATTTAACAAATGTGAAGTGATTAATTAATCACTAAAAATAATGTTAATTTTAAAAGATGCACTGAATTCTATAATATTTACAGGATAGAATAGTTTTTCTGTATCCACTGTTTCAGTAGACCATTTAGGGGTAAAAAAGAAGGAAAAACATTAAGAATAAAGTGAGGTATCATGGACAACAGTAGAACTAAATATCCATTAAGGAGCCCTGTTCAGGTAAGTTAAGGGCTAGGCTGTTCCCTTAAACTCAGCAGTCCAAACTCTGAGCCATTCAGCTGAAAGATGATGTGGCAGTCTGCTTCAGTAAAGACTACAACTTTGGAAGCTCTAAAATAATACTCTGTGTTTTTGTTGTTGCTAAGTGCTGTCAAGTCACTTTCGACTCTTAGCGACCCTTTATCAGGTTTCCAAAGAGTGTCATTGAGTTTGAAGTGCCAACCTTGAGATTAAAACTGACCTCGTAGTCCAGGGCATTAACCCACAGTGCCACTCCAGGACTCTACTCTCTCCTATAGGGGAGGTATGAGTCAAAATCAACTCAAAGGCAATGAGATTTTGTTGTAGGTATCTATACACTGAAGCTATTTATATATGTTGCATATTTTAGTATAAATATTTTTTAGAGGAAAATACCAGTCATGATCACTAGTACAAAATACATTAGTACACAATAACATAATGCTGTTTCACTCATTACTTCACTTCAGTAACTCCTGTGTTCTATAAATCCAATACTGAGTCAAATCACCTTGAACATTGTTTTAGTCACTTTCAAAAGCTGTGTAAAATTAAATCATGATATTAATCTGAAGTCATTTTTACTTTCACCAACTACCTCACTTAGTTATACAGAATTCGTGGTGGTGGGGAAAACCAGTTGTGGTTCAGCGCATTATGACTTAATGGTGACTGCCGGTGTGTCACAGTACAACTGTGCTTCATACCGTTATCTAAAGCTGAGTTTTTGATAGTAGATCACCAGACCATTTTAAGGGTATTCCTGGGTGGTAGCAACACTTTCAGTTACCAACAAAACACATTATCTGTATGCACCCTCAGAGATTCCTGGAGGAGGGGGATATGGTTTCTTCAACCTATAGAGTACATTCAGCCCCTGGGCATTTTAGTTAGGTAGCTACACTTGTGCAGTCTTGAACATTTTGTGCCCAATAGATTTCTCAGTGTTACCTTTCTGTGCATACTATTAAATATATAATGATAGAATTACTTTAAATAAAAACATGATTTATTTCAGTGTAGCACACTAGCTAAATGTAAAGAAGAAAATTCTCTGGTTTTAAAGCAGAAAAATTATTACTACTTGTTGTTGCCGTTACGTTCCATCGAGTCGTTACCGACTCATGGTGACCTTACGCACAGCAGAATCAAACACTGCCAGATCCTGGGCCAACATCACTACTGTTGCCACTCAACAGTCATTTTTTTCTCAGTTTAATTGAATCTTGATGAATGCATTTTGAATTTTCTGTAGTTTCCCTTACCTTAGAATGGCAGGAACTTTGAAAAATATTTAATGTGAAATATTTTTATATATATTTGTGAAAAATATTTAAATACATGAAAGTATATTAAGAAATTGAAATGTATAACTACATTATTTAAAAAATACAAAATTTTATTTCTACTAGTATTTATTTTGTATTTGCTCATAAATTTAAAAAATAGGGATCTTTATAGTATTCTGTCAAATTGACCTTATTAATGAATAAACTAAGTCTCAAAGGAAGTGCAACTGGCTGTTTGAAATGGTGAACAGACAGACTTAATGACAGAGAATAAACAACTGCATGTATATGTAGACCAGAGAATCTTAACGTCAGAAATGGACATTACTGAGTCAAATCACCTTGAATATATATACATGTATATATTTTGTTTCAAATATTTCTTTTTGTACTGTGTGTAGAGAAATTATTTTCATGGAGTAAATGAAGTTCCATCTATTTATTTTCTCAAACCATGCTTCCTGTCTGACTCCTGTTGGAACATGCTCCCACCTGCTGATGTTTTGCTGAGCTTCCTAGCTACAGGGAAGCAAACACTACTGACAGCAGATGTGAAAAGAACTAGTGACAGTACTAGGGAGATAAAAGGAGAAATATAGATTCCAATCACTACAGTAGATTTTGGAAACGCTTTGCGATCTTAAGGTACACTTTCCTAGGGATAAACATTAGAAGGTCCAGCTGCCACCAGCTAACATAAAAATCAGTGGACTTTTTCTTATTTGGGTCATTGATGTAGAAAACATGCATCCCAGTTTCCCAGGAAATTACTCGTTCACACTTGTTACACTCTCAAAAATTACTCAGCTGGGAAGATAAACGCTATGATCTGCCTTTTGACAGAGGAGTTCTCAAACCTTCTCAACTTTGTTGTGCTCCCAGGTGCACCCTACAAATGAGTCAAATGACTTTGAACATAAATATCCTTGCTCTGTATCCCTGAATTTATCAGTAGAATGCATTTTCTAGAGTTTCTTGTCTATTATTTAGCCTGACCTTTTTTTCTAATGTTTAATTTTCTAATTTCTATGTATGTTTTTATTTTTTCAAGTATTAAACTGTTTAATATTCTGAAACATATGAAAAAGTTAGTAAATATTAATGATGCTTGGTGACTTCCAAAAAGAAGAGAGACACAGATGTGTATATATTGTACTTTTTCAATTTTCATAAGAATATAAAACCATTCAAAACATTAAATTTAATAACTTCTTAGATTTAATATTTATGGTCAAATGGTCAAATATGAGTTACTGTAGTATTCAGCTAACTAACATTAAAAACAATAGTCTCCATATAAAATATTTGGGACCCAGATTGCCAGTGAATATAGTATAATAATAACAATCTGCCAATTCAAATATTAAAGAACAAATAAAATAAAAAATATATACAATTCTCATTTAAGAACCAAACTCCTATGTCTTATTTTTCACTTTGATATTTAAGATGAAATCATTTTAAACAAATTATTTGAATTATGGCTTATTATACAAACATGTGCTAATGTATTGGCAATACTAAAAGCATTAGTTTAGACTAAATTTTTATCTATATTTTTATTAAATTTTTATCTGTATAGGCTTTTCAAAGAACAGCTAGTGAAATAAAGCTGAATCTTTTTTATATTTTATAAAACACAAGCTTTCCATTAATTTAGTCTTAATAAATTAGTTTGTGTACATACAGAAATTAATTTCTATACATTTCCCAAGTGGATAGCTCATAGAAGGGAAAGACTATAAAGAAATTTGGATATAACCAGGAATAGTTACTACCTCCAAAAAAGTGACATTGTTTAGCTAAAATTAGCAATTATTCCTACGGTATTCCTAAAATGTAATATTTTTAGTTTAGCATGATGCTAAATGATTAAAATGTATGTGGTCATTGGAAATATACATTTAAAAGGATATTCTGGTTTGTTTTGACAATAATGTTATCAGAAATTTAGTTTCTAAATTAAACCTCTTTGCCATCTCCTTTAGATAATGAATCCCAATTACAGTTCAACATTATATATATACATACACACACACACACACACACTAAATTAAAATAAAATTTTTAGTTCATTAAACTTTAAAAAAAAATACACAAAATGCATCATATGTCCCTTTGGGAATTACTCTATGTATTTTTAACTATAAGTGACAACAGGAAGGGCAACATTTATAGACAATTGAAAAACAAACAAATAAAATTAATCTCTGTCCTTTCATTCAAAATAGTTCTTTAATCTGTTGAAAATAACCTTCATTCACTAGCTTTTCAATTATTTCACTGTTTTGATTTTTTTTTTTCAAATATATCTTTATCTTAAGGAAACTAAATACATATTCAAGGGATAAGGGGATTTGATTTTCCTATTTCGAGCTAAAACACGACCTCTAAATTATCTTTTACAATAAGCCAAAGCTAATATCACATACCTTTCGGGAATGAATTTCTTTCACATACAATGGAAGTAGAAACTCAGATATACCTTCAAGTCGGATTCCCTTCTTGGTGACTCTCAGATTTCCCATACCATCCTACAAGCAATGAAATATAATTCACTTTTAGGTTAATTAGAGGATAAATATCTGGCCATAATTTTCTTAGGCTTAAAGTGAGAAAACTGTTAACTCAAATTATTCATGATAGAAGGGAAATGAAGGACTGAATCTATTTAATGAATGTTTGTAGCAGTTTGCATTCATATAGAGGACTCTGTATAAATGAAGAAGAAAACAGAATTATAAAGGATCTGATGTCCTCTGCCTACTCTATCAGAGACCAGTATTTGTCTATGAATAAATTCTTTAATTTCACCATGTTTCCATCAATTTGTCTTTTTTTATTTTTTTTATATAGTTAATCATACTTGCTACATATGAATGGAAAGTAATGGTTTACAAAGAGACCTAGTAACCTTTAAATTTTATTATTACATAATGGAGTCCTAGTGTGGTTTTGTGGGTTAATGCATTGGACTGCAAAGTCGGTTTGAATTGCTACATCGACAGTTCAAACTCACTAGCTGTTCTTTGAAAAGCCTATACAGGATTGCTCTGGTCAGAAGTAACTTGGTACTTAACAACAACAACAATATGTAAATATGTATATGATACATTCAAGTAGTCACATTTGTACAAACTCTTCAATAAATGATTAATAATTGAGTGGGATAAGTAAACATGGTGCTCTAATCTTCAAACCATGAGTAAAGCGTGTCTCCTATCCATGAAAAAGTAAAATAAAATTTAGGAGGAAGAAACAGTAAACATGGGAATAAAGTTGATGAGGCAGAATAAAACAAGCAAAAAGTAATCACAGATTATTATTGTGAAGTAAAGAAAGGATATTTCACATTTGGTTGGCAGAGATGGAATATAATAAAAGTCAATAATATGTGTAGTGTTTTAACAGGGAGTTCCATGGAGGCTAGAATGAAGAGAATGTGCTGGTAATGTTTAGGAAATACCATGTATTTAATTTGGCTGGGATGTGGGGTTCCTATATTGGAATAAGTGGAAATCTACTTTGGAGTCAAAGAAATGAGAGTTATTAACTCAAAGTGAAGGAATTTGTGCATAATTCAGTCTGCTAGAGAAGAGCCATAAACATTATTAAATAGCTCATTGATTTAAAATAATTGCAGTTAAGTTTTAAGACAACTTAACAGGGAGAATTACTCTTTTGAAGGTTGCAGAGTACCAGTAATAAAAAACAAAACAAAATAAAGTCAAACCACTTGGTAACAAATGTAAAGTACAGTGTAGAATCATAACAAATAAATTTGATGACAATTTTATCTATAGTGGTGGTGGGGGTGGGGGTGGGGGTGATGGTGTACTGTTGAGTTAGTTACCACTCATAGAGAGCCTGCATAGGGTTTCTGAGAGCAGAAAGCCTCATCATTCTTCCACAGAATGACTGGTAATTTCAAACTCCTGACCTTAAAGTTAGTAGTCTGACTTGTAACTACGATATATATAGATAATAAAAATGAAGGCATTTGGAGAACAAATAAGATGTGGATTGGGTAGAAGTGCAGTGAGGAGCTCCATCAGAAATGACACAGAATACCAAACCAAGCTTGCTCAGAGGATGGTGCCAGAACACTGAACCACATATAAAGGAATATTTAGAAGGCTTACAGCTAGGTGAAGTTGTAGCAGAAGCAAGAAACCCAGGGCTTTCTAATTCAGGATGTGCAGATGCTCCCAGAGCTGCCATCTTGGGCAAGAACAAGCAGGGGAAGGATAAGAACAGACACAGACAACTGACAGAACCATAGATATAAAGGTGTGGACATCTTTTTTTTTTTTTTTTAATCTGTTCATTGGTCTCTTGCTGTCTGTGCACCTCCATTCTGGTGATAAGAGGGGGTGCCTGTGTGAGTGGACACCCCATACCCACCCCCGGAGGACTCTACCACAGATCTTCTCAAAATTTAAAGTGACAGTTTCCACTTAACACCAAATGGGAGTGCAAAATGGCCACAGCTGGCCCTGATCTGTTTATCACTAAGAAAAAGGCCTGAACAGGGATTTTGGAATGGCACAGGCAAATTAAAAACAAATAGGCTGAAAATTAACTTCAGTTACATCACAAAGATCAACAGTGGCATCTGGAAGTTTCTCAGGAAGAAGAGTGAAAAAGGAAGCCCATCTCCTGATCACATCTACCTGGAGTCAATCAGAAAGCATAAAAATACCAAAATACACACCCGTCTAAGTATTAAGGCCACAGATAACTGCTGAATATGCCCCCAAAACAGAGACAGATGACCACATCGGCACATGTCCAGAAGCAAGATAAAGTGACTGAGGCAAATGATCTGGAACTAGACCTACACTCCATACTGGAAGATAGGTAGGCTTTGGAAATGTCTGAGAAGGAATTCAGGAAAATGATTATAAAATGTATCAAAACACTTTACAATAGAGTTGAGAAAAATAAGGGAGAAGTCAGGAAAGTGCTACAGAAACAATCAAATAAGAGATACAGCATTGGAAACAATTCAAAACCTAAAGAAAGAGGTTCAAATGATTAATAATACAATATCAGAAATGGACAATATACTGTAGGGCAAAGGTGTAGAATTGAAGAGATAAAAGCCAGAAGTAGAAAGCTGGAAGATAAATTTCTCAACATGACAAAGATAGATGAGCAAGCACAAAAAAAGGACAAAAAAATCTGAAGAAGGCCTAAGATTCATGTTGGAGAGCATGAAGAGGAATAACTTAAGAATTATTGGCATTCCAGAACAGGAAGAATCACACATGTCAACAGAGGAGATAATTGAAGAGCTTCTGGAAGAAAACTTCCCTAACATCTGATAAAGTGAAAAGATGAGCATTCAAGAAGCTCAGTGAACCCCAAGAATGACAGACCCTAAAAGGCAATTACCAAGACATATAATAATCAAGCTGTCAAAAATCAAAGATAAGGACAGAATCCTGAAAGTAGCTAGGGAAAAGAGAAGTGTTATATACAAAGGTAAGCAAATTAGACTAAGCTTGGATCTCTCTAAAGAATCCATGCAGGCAAGAAAGCAATGGAGAGACATATACAAAACCCTGAAAGAAAAAAAAAAACAAACAAAAAAACTGCCAACCAAGAATCCTCT